TTCTGAAAAAAGACAAGATTTTTCTCATATTTTATTTTTCTAACTTGTTTCAATAAATCGCTAGATTTGACCATAGGCTGTTCATTGATATAAATTTCATCACGCTTAGAAATTGAATTAATGTAAAAAAAAAGTTCTAACATCGTCAAACATCACTCACATGAACCAACGATTTACCCAAGGTGTTTCATAAACAACCATCGAGCCAGCAGGTTTTTTTAAAATTTTTCTCTATCAAGTGGTAGGTTTGATCATGGGCTATCAGCTGATATAAAACTCATTATGGTTGGAGTTGAACTGATGTAGAAAAAAGTCCTAACATCGTCAAACATCACTCATACGAACCAATGATTTACCCAAGGTGGCCCATAAACAACTATCGGACCAGCAATTCTTTTTGATTTTTTTCTATCAAATGGTAGATTTGCTCATGAGCTATCGGTCGATATATAATTTATGATGGTTGCACATTATCTGACTAGCGCGAAGTATTGAAATCAAATGTTCAAACATGTTATTTATCCTGTTTACCATATAGATCTATTGAAAGCGAATAGAAAACAAGGAATATTTGTTATCAAATATTATAATTCGTAAACTAATAAAATCAAATCATTTATTTAGACTACGTGGAAGGTTAAAAAAAGCATAATAATAGAGAAAAGATCATCTAATTATAAGATATCATGGGTTCCCATACAGCATATTGACTATGAGATTGTGCTCAGGAAATAAACCACTTATTAGATTTATTTCAATGTAAAACAATTTTTCACATCGTTATCGATAAGTTTTGAAGGGAGAAGTGAGATTTTTTTTAGGGCCGATTTCTGCTCTTATCAACCCATGTCCTTTAGTTTATGAAAGGTAATCTTCAATTATAAGAATTCTTCTTCTTTATTGTCACCTATACACTGGTTAACCAGAAGATTTTTTTCGATGCATCCCTAGAGATAAGCAAATTTACACAAGGCATTTCTTATCAATTACTTAGTTTACTTTGCTTTTTGTTTTATTATCTGAGTAACTTTCTTCTTCGATTAAACACACATGCACACAAAAGATTATGTTTAACAAATAGATACTCATTACTACTAGAAGTGTTGGCTATTGACACACGACTTTTCAGAGGAATCTAGTACTAACCTACATATCTATAATTTCAAGTCTTTAGAAATTCTCGATACTGTAATTTCCTCTATTTCCTCTTATTATGAGTAAGCAAACAAATTTGACAGGTACGTTATATTAAGCAAGATTTTAGGGTCTATATGTCTACTTTAATCGAAAATGTTGTAGTCTTCTGGATCGTTTTTGAAATTTGTGTTCTGGTATTGACCCTTTTTCGTAAAGTTTGTTTCGAGCTAACACAAGGATTTTGTACCTTCAGTTAAAATATCGTCTTTTGCTTCGAGCTATAAGGAAAGATTTTGAACGAGCAACAGCCACACAAAAAATACTGTGTACATGATCCATTTTGGAGCACTGATACGTTTACGAGAAGAATACCAGTTTTCTTAATCTCACAAATGATATGAGCTGCACTCGTTGGATCCAATTAAAGTTGCTTATTAATCAATTGACCTCAAAAGCTAACACCAACACTATATTGAGCGTAAAAAGCTAGATCGATTAGCGCATAAGAGTGTTTTTTCATGATGATGTACAAATGGCGTATCATTTTCTAGATTTCAACCAGAGGTACAATTTAAAAAAACTTCGATAATATCTTTCTATGAGCCACATAGATCATATTATCATCAATACTCAAGACTGTCTTGATCAGGCGGCAGCTTATTTTGAGCGCATGGGCTTTACTGTCACCCCACGAAGCTATCATAAACTGGGTTCGATCAACCGCATCATTGTTTTCAAGACGGACTATCTGGAACTAGTGGGATATCCAGAGGGCAAGCCGCCGGAAAAGCGGCCAGAGTTGGCCCAGCGGCCACCAGGATTGATGGCTACCGTGTTCAAAACCAATGATGCTAATCAGGTACGAGATACACTCATGGCACGCGGATTGGCAGTACGACCAACCTTCAGTTCGTCACGACCAACAGATTTGGAAAATAACAAAACTGCAGATGTCCAATTTCGCGTAACGTGCCTGGAGCCGGATGCTGTCCCCGGCAGCTATTTCTATTACTGCCAGCATATCACGCCAGAATTGGTTTGGCGTCCTATATGGCAGACGCATGCGAACGGTTGTGTCATGATGACTAGACTTAGTATCAATGTGACTGATCGAAAGACGGCAGTCGAGTTATATCTGCGTGTGATGGATGTCGTTAAGCTTGAGGATATTGAAGAAAGTAGTTGTATCATACGGTTACCAAGGTTCGAAATCAAATTAGTCAGTGAGAGCGACAAGCCGTTGGGTATGTTCAAGCTAGTGTTCGGCACTGATTCACTGGAAAAAGTGGCTATCTCGCTGACGCAAGGCGGGATAGGCCATCACAAAGAAGGTGAACGCATTCTCGCCGATACGCTACCTCATATTGGTTGTGCCCTAGAATTCGAATGTATCGTGTAATGCTAGCTCCAGTGCCTTCCTCTGATTTGTGAACATAAATGGAAAAACTTTTGAAGTCTAATATAATTATTTAGAATTTTCACTAATTATAACGTTAGGAAGTTTAGTAGCTTTATGCAAATGGCTAATTTTTTTAAAAATATTTTAATGTAAATGTTTTTGCAACCAGCATGAGTTTTTGTTGGTTTTGAACAAAGTAAATTATTCTTATATATCAATAAGTAATTAATTTGGCAGAGGAAAGAAGTTTTGTTGAGGGTATTGGTCACCGCCTCGATCACATTAGAAAAATGCTAATCAAATTTAATTATTATATAGAAGTACTAAATTTAGTAGTCAGATATTGCATCAAATTGTAGAAATTGGACCAATCAAATCGCACAATATAATGTGTATAAGGAAACTGATCGCAGCAGAAACATCTGTGGAAATAGCGACACTTACAAAGGCCACTCGTAAAATGCAGCTGAATTCTTAGTTCAAATAGATTTATTTATTAAAATAAACAGAAAAAATTGCTAAAAAACCCATCATTTTGTTCCCAGAAAAATCTGTCATATGCACATCCTTGAGAACGAACACATCGATGAAGGACGAAACCTTGATGTCGACATTGCCACCATTGAGCACATGCTTGTGTACATCCCCAGTCAAATGTGCCTAGGGCCGTGAAAGGATTTCTTCTCCTTGTCCTTCTTCTCCGCTGAGACTGCCCATAGGTACCATATTCGCTTGAATAAAAGTGGCTATAGATGATGAACAAGTTTCAGATGAGAGTACGTCGATTATTTTTTGATCAGAACTTCCGTACCACATATGCCGAGTCCATTGATGGTATTACAATGAATATACACATTACTTCTACAAAACAGATATTGGAGACATACTCTTTTCAATTTTAAAAGTTCTTGTGAAATAAGATCTCAAGTATATTATAACGTCGTACTGTTAGCAATAACGGATAATACTTTGTTATCCTAACTTTCGTTTTTGTTCATTTCTCCTATATATGTCCTATGTAAGGTTCGATGTGTTGATATATGTATATATGATATATATATCTTTTTTCTCTCTCTTGTTTCTCTCTATTTCGCCGTCTGACCTTTTGAACTTCTCTTATCCAGGTCTTCAGTCGTCTTTGAAATTATATCAACATCGGTCATGTTTGTTTTTCTCTTCGAAAATAATAAACGTCTCCGTGTAGGAAGATACTGATTCAACTCGATTCCGATCATTATTATTGAAGTAGGACAACCATATACACTAACTGAGCTACTACAGATCATAGTTCTCTATTGGATCCGTTCCGCCTATTAAAGTCTAGCGGGTAGGAGTCTTTGGGTACAAGAGAAAGCTAACAGTGTTGTTAAGAAAATTTCGAAAATTTTTAGTAACATCAGGAAAATCAACGAACCCATCAACTTCAGCTTCACCTCGAGAAATGCTAATATACGACGATATCTCTGAATCTTCATATTCCATAGCGTGCTCAGCAAGTCGGCATCGGTCTTTACCTGGAATCTATGCAGGATCATCCAGTTTTTTATGCACGTATGAATCACTGGAATAAATAACAGTATATGTCTATAAAGGTCCTCTCAGACGTAATAGTAGGTTAAAATATTGTAAATTACATTTCCCATGGATTCACCCATTTAACACAAAATAAACGTAGTCTTCATCGTTTACGTACTGCTTGTGAATCTGCTAAAGTAAATCGATTTTTTTCTCGAAAAAGTATTTCGAAGAATTTCGTTTATTAGCCTACTTTATCATTATCACATCAAGCATCAATTGAAATCGATTCATTATATGATGGAATTGATTTTTCTTCAAGAATTACTCGTGATTGTATTACCTGATGAAGCTGTGGCTTATGGTGCCGCTACTCAAGCAGCTATTTTAACTGGGGATAAATCAGAAGAAGTTAAAGATCTTTTACTACTTGATATTGCACCAATATCGTTAGTAATCAAATTCCAAAAATCGAAATAGAATAGTTTCTTTTGTTTTTTTGAGGGTATCGAAACGATTGGTAGTGTGATGACAGTATTAATCAAGCATAATACAACAATTCCAATAAAACAAAGTCAAACATTTTCATCGGAATCATTGCTAAAGAATGAACCAGGAATCTGTATTAAAGTGTTTGAAGGTGAAAATGTTTTGACACAAGATAATCATTTACTTGGAAGTCTCGAATTATCTGGTATTTTATTCAAATCTGATGATGAACCACAGATTGAAGTTACATTTGATATTGATACAAACAGTACTTTAATTGTTTCTGCTGTTGATAAACGTTCTGGAAAAGAAAATAGATTTAAAATTGAACATACTCAAGAATGTTTATCTCAAAATGAAATTGAACGTATGATTGCCCGATGGGGAAAAATATAAAAAAGACGATAAAATACGACGGGATTGTATGAGCGCAAAAAATGTTCTGAAATCCTATTGTTTCAATATGAAAACAAGAATTAATGAAGAAACATTGAAACATAAAATCACTATTCATGATAAAAAGACCATGATCAATGCTCTTGAAAACACATTGATATGGGTAGAGACAAATCAAGTGAGAGAAGGATCAGTTTTTAAAAGCTTTATTTCTCAGTTTTAGAATTCTGAAAAAGAAGAATTTGAAAAGAAATTAAAAGAAATTGAAAATCTGTATTTATCGATAATGATCAAACCTTATCTAGGTGAACATGATCTGGGAAATATATCATCAGTATTTCTCAACTACCGTACAAGTGAGTAATCAATGTTTTCTCCAAGAATCAAATCTCACTAAAGGACATCTACGATATATAAAGTATAAAAAACAATTCTGTAAATTTCTCTTTCATTTCAGAAGACGATGTTGTACCTCCTACTGCCCATGCATCAAACTGTAATAATGACACTACCGAAACTCACTTCACGTTTTCTTGATATTCGAAATGAACATCAAAACATGTTCTTACCGTAATTTTCCATTCATCGTCGATTAGAATTACTATTCATTCTATTTTATCTTTAGCATCGAAGGCTATGAAGATATGCCACTCTTGTCCTTGGGAGATGCTGTTCAACATTTGGAAGATACTATTTCGAATATCAGACGAAATACATGGATTGCAAAACAGAGAACAGCTATTACTGCTGATGGTCTTACTCAAGATGAATCAGCTGCTATTCAACTCTACAATGGAATGAAAATCCAGTGATCAATCATTCTACATTCATATCAATAATGCTCTACGCGATATATATCGAGAAAAACTCGTTCCATATTTCTTTTATCTAAAGTTTATTCTCATCGCTCCGTGGAAATTTTCATCAGTCAAAAGGACTGTATGGTGTGGTGTTAATGCTGACTTAAATGCTCTCTACCCAATAGGCAAAAAGTTCGTCTGATGGGGATTCAGGTTCGTTTAATTGATCTTCTATGTCCATTTCACATTCACTCTTTCAATAGTTCATGCAATGAATCATTACAATCTTTTGAACAAAAGTTTCTGGGCACTTCGGATGTAAGAACAATGTTTAGTATCGAGTGCGAAACTGGCAAGTCTATACGGGCTCATTCATACTATAAAACAGAGGATGAAACTCTCCTTTTACCGGCTACGTGAATGCGGGTACTCGATCGAATTGATATTGGCAATGGTCGAATTCTCATTCAATTGAAAGAGATTAAATCACCATTTCCACTGCTTCAACCACCATTCATTTAACTCTTTTTTGCCTTTCATCTTACTACGTATGTCAATATAATTTTTTATCCAAGAAAGTTTCGGTTTATTTGTTGGATGATGAATCACTGCTTCGGGTAAGCAAGAAAACCGGAGAAGAACATAAGAGCAGGAAGATAGGACTACTCTATCTATAATTCTTGAGGATGTGTAAGATTAATTTAATTGCTGGATCGTCAGATGGTGCACATGGTAACAGTTTGAAATTACTCAGTTATTCTACAGATGTTTTCATTGATAACAATAGCAATATGTATGTCTTACAAGTAAGATATTTTCTCTGCTTATAGTTTAAAAGTTTTGAAATAACGTGACAGTCGGACGTCCAATCGAGTCTAATAATTGTCGACAGGATTTGATACTCATTCCATTTCTAGGATTACATCGTGTGTTGTCAGAAAATAGAAGAAAAGTTCTACTCAAATATTCCAACAGGTAAAAATGATTTGCCAAATGTGTTTTCTAGATATATTTATCTTTGTGTTTTTATTCTTGTAAAAATTTAATTTTCTTCTTATATCATAAGATATTTACAAGAAAAAGAAATGGATTAATTAAAATGTAACATTCGTTTTTGGAAGATACGTTAAAAAAGCCTGTTTAAGTTCATGTATTTCTGATTAAAGTAAGCTAAATTAACCAATTCTAAATTTTTTAATTTAAATATATCATTCGATAGATAAACTAATTTATTATTATTAAGCCAAAGTTTTTTCAAAGTTATTACTTCTGATATTGCTGGTGGAAGAAATTGAATTGAATTATGACTTACATCAAGTTCTTGAAGAGTTTTATATCTATTAATATCATATATTGGAGATAAATGATTACTAGATACATTTAAATGAATAAAATTTGGATATCTGTATTGGGAAGGCGGACTATTGGAACAAAAAGAATAGCATGTACCACTAAGAGTTGTAAATTTAGGTATAGATGAAAATGAACATCTATCTAAACGAACATATGTCATGAAATGAAGATATTCTGTTTGTAAAAGTTGACTGATTGAATTTGCATGAGGAGGGTGAGGGTGAGGGTGAGTTTGATATTTGACAACAATTCGAAAGAGAAAGCAAGACCAAAGAATTCATCGAAGGATTATCTACCGTCATATCGTTTGTTCACAAACAAATCTCAGAAGTTAATCTGAACGACCACAGTCGATATGTTCCACATAAGACGAAAACTTAAGTGGAAAGAATCCTTCTAACCAGGACAGGAATCGAACCCGCATCTCACAATAACCGGTTGGTTGCGGAGGAGGGTGAGTCTAGCACTTCCAAGACTAGTTTTGACCCTGCTACAGGTCTCATCAGTTGGATTTGACTCTCCTCTAGTTGTTCGATTGATTTCCAAAGAAGAAAACTAGTATAATCGATCAGAATTCGAACAAAGAGCAAAGTCTTTGTCTGAAGACGATAGATATCTTCATTCGAGAGTGAGTCTAGCACTTCCAAGACTAGTTTCGACACTGCTACAGGTCTCATCAGTTCGATTTGACTCTCCTCTAGTTGTGTGAGGGTGAGGGTGAGTATAGCTACTACGACATGCTATATGTTTCGATTTTTGTTAACATCTTGTCAAGTAGCAAGTATTAATCAATGATTTCCGAAAAAATCATAAACTAGAAATACTCGAAATCTACAAATGTAGATGATCACTTTTTTAAGGTGAGTATAGCTACTACGACATATCAATCTATTTAGGTAATGTTATCCTAAAATATTATTTAAGAAAAACAATTGAACTTACAATATATAAGGTAGAGTAGAATCGGATAAGAATGTTTATTTTGTCTTTTTCTCGATAATTTTGAGTCAAATTAATTGGTATTGATGATTGTTGGTTGAGAAACCAATTGAATTTTTATGTGCGTGTGGTACTGGGCTCGTTCAATCATATTTTGATGTCGATCTATAATGGCTTTATTAATATTGTGAGGACATGGTTCGACATATGATGTGTTATTGAATAATTTAACCTTGTAATGTTTCAGTTTTTCAGCATAACTTTGGGCCTTTTGCTCGGCGATAGTCAGTATTTGTTCAGTCAATTCGTTTGGTAATTGATGATCTGTTTGCTTGTGAACATAATGTAATTTCGTTAAAATATGGTTAATATTTTCTAATTGTAATGTTTGTAGAGTGTGGCAAGATGTTTTTTTCAAGTTACAATTGAACCAATTTTTGAAGATTGCAATTTCATATTGAAGTGTTTTGTTCATCATTTGTTGCTTTCCAAATTGATTTTGTCAAAGAAATCTAAAGAAATCAACGATTTTATTTAAAGTTTGATATCATTACATGTTTTATTCATACATACTTCTGGTTGCCGTGGTTTTAATTTATTAAAGATTTCAATATATTGATGATCTTTAGCATCGAATTTTAACATACCTCTTCGTCTTTCAAATTCAATACGTAATGTATATTGATCTTTATTAATAAGAATAAGGTCAGTGAGAATGTTTATGATTCTGTTAGTATCAACGATCGAAGAGAATTTCTTTAACAAATGTTCATCGATCTCACTATGAATTTGTGTAAGTTGTAGTTGAAATTTTTTTTGACGTTGTTCGACTATTGTTTGTGATCGACCATAAACATAACACATTGAAAATATTGTTGCCATTTTTTCAAAACTCGTCCAAACCAAATACCTTCGGTCGTGCCAAGATGATGATAGTAATTCCATTGTTCAATTTGTAATTTGAAATAATTGAATTTATTGATCAATTGTGTCAATTGACGAATAAACGTTGTTGTTTCCTCATTAATAACCAATGACTTAATCAATGCTTTGTGTTTGTGTGTCTGCTGCTGTTAATAAAGGTTTTTCGAAAGTTGTATTTGATATTATTGAATAGTCAGGTAAATAGAGTGTTGGATCTGTATTGGATCCATTATCAAAATAGTAATAATTATTCTTTTCGTCTTTTGACAGCTGTTGAGTAGTCATGGACGATATCTTATCTTCTAACAGTGATTGTTGAGTATGTTTATTTTGTTTTTGTTTAAATGATTTACGGTTTGGTATTGTTGTTAAAAGTATATTTGATTGATGACAATATTTATTCTGTTTAAAACATTGTCTCTTTCTACTGTATTGACGATTGTGTTGTGGTTTGTGTTTCATTATTTTCTATATAAATATCTAAAATTTTAAATTAAAAGAAAATAGAAAGAAAAAGAAAGAAAATAAAATCAAGATAAAAAATAATGTTCTTTTATTTAGTCTACAACATATATCATATTTATGAAGATGGTTCAATGACTTGTCTTTGATTCTAATAAACAAAGAAAATAGAAAAATTTAAATGTAATAGTATACAATATTCTTACTCTTGGGTTTATTTGGTTGATCCTTTAATATCGATTGAGATGGACGTTTTCGTGCAAGTTCAAAATCCATATTTGGATTGTTATGATGGCTTACTACCAATTGCATCTGCTCATATTGTGTATTTTTGACGTAACTATCATGAATTTCATGAATATCTTGTTTTAAATCTGCTAATCGTCCTTCATGTGTACAATGAATAAAGAGAGTATTATTGAATTTATCTGCTTTTGATTTGATTGTTATCATTTTTGTTGACGTTGTCGTCGTCGTCCGTGCTGCTGCTACTACTCGTCGTATCATTCCTTGAACATTATTATTATCATGATCAGTAGACATAATATCGACGGTCGCTGCACTTTTAGCTACTTGTGTTTGTTTTGGTGTCGGTTCAGCAAGTAATATTTGACGCAAGAGGAAAAATTGATTTTCATCATCAATCATTGGTAAAAGTGATGATGATGATGATGAGAATGATGATGACATATGTTTTAGAAAGAATTGTTGAAATTGTTTATTAATATAGATCGATGGATAGCCATTGTATAATAATTTCAAACGAACTTGACGTTGTTCAATATTAAATGCTTCAAATGTCGATGAATATCGTATAGCTCGAGTAAGAGCTATTCGAATAACATTTCGAAATATATGTCGAGGATGATCCGATAAGAATGAGAGGATCTTGTTGACAATATTTTTGAAGTTTATCAAGAAGATCTTGACCATCAACGATAGTCGTCTGCCGAGCATATCGATCGAATAATGGTCGAATTAATCGATCTAAGAATTTGGAAATTTTTGTTGTTGCTGCATGAATTGTATTCATAATTGGTCGAAGTGGTGTATTTTCCTAGAATAATATAAGATTATTTATTAATTTAGATAAAAAGAAAACAAAAACGATTGATTGAGATAGATTATCTTATGTGTTTTTGGAAGAAAATATAAATAAGCTAATTCAGTTTCTTTTCGAATAGGCATCATTTTCCATTTTTACCATCCTAACATTTTTCCTTTTGAATAAAGATTATTCAATAATTGATTTACTTTATTGAATTGTTCATGTAATGGATTTGGACCAGATGGTAATTCTTCATAAGCATCAATTTTTGTTAAATGTTCAATTGCTTTTTGTTCATTATCAACAAGTCTACCAATAAAAAAATACACCACTTTTATCTGTTTGACAAAGTATTAATTTAGCTTTTTTTAATTTTCGTCGAATTGATTGAACTAAATTAAGTTCTTGTCGTGAACGTATTTGATCAATAAAAGGTAATCGAGCCATATAACGAACAGTAAGATATGCTAGAAGACGTTCAGAATAAATCAATCGTTGACATTGAGCTTCTGTTTGACGATTGTGTCTACAACGAAATGTCGACTAAAAAGATCGATTTCTATTTTATTTTAGAAAATTGAAGTTTTGGATATGTGACAGGCGAACGTGAGAGTATATTTCCGAAGTGAAAAGCTTTTCTCACCTAGTCTTGCTCCAACAAAAACTAGCTGTTTCATACTAGTGGATGTTTTTGAGAACGATGTTGAGATACAAAGACATGGAGAGATGAGCTTTTCAGCATTCAATCAAGAGCTCCATTTGCTTTATTCCAAAATAGAAATTTTACTTTAATGTCGTCAACAATCTATGCTTCTTCTCTTGTGTTTGCATAGTTCAAATGTCCAGTATTGTGCCAAGTTTGAAGCAGCTTAAATGGCTACTGTTAATCGATCATATCGAAACTTTTGAAAAATGGTAAGGTCAATGTTAAGAATATATAAGGTTAACACGTTCATTTTGATATCATTTAAAATATAAAATGTAAGTAGGATTAACATTTATTTTGACCTACAACTTCGATCATTTCGAAGTTAAGATCTCTGACACACATGATGATATTTTACATGAAGAAAGAAACTGATTCCACCAATCTGTCAAGTATATTTCAGTTTTTTCTCTTGTCCTGCTTCT